CGTTCGCGTCTCGTCGGCGTCCGCGTCGCCCTGTGACGGCCGCCGCCGCGTCGCGCGCGCGACGTCGCGCGACGCTCGCGACGCCACATCGCGGGCATGGAAACCCCATCAATCGGTCACATCGACGCGCACACCGCGCGCCGCGCGACGACGCGTCGGTGTCGCCGCGCACGTCTCGCGTCGGCGCCCACCGCGCCGCCCTCGCGACGCGCACGAGCGCGTCCGCGAGGCCTAGCAAAGATGAAACCAATGGTCGATAAACTAGGGTTTACGTCGACACCACATCACATCCCGTCGCTCGCGACGCCGACCGCGCGCGCGCGCCTCGAACGATGGACCGCGCGACGACGGCGACGACGACGACGACCGACGACGACGATGGCTACGTCGTGATTCGCGCCACGGGACTCACGACGGATGGACGCGCGCGGGCGACGGTGGAGAGCGAGGCGATGGCGACGCTCGAGCGGGCGATCGAGGCGACGATGCGCTTGGAACGGGCGCGCGCGCGGTCGGGAGGGAAAGGGGGGAGGGGGAAGCGAACGCGGCCGACGTGTGAGTTTCCGGTGGAAACGACGGTGTGGCACGTCGATCGACGGGAGAAAGGGGGGGCGCCGCGGGCGGAGGATGGCGAATTCATGGTGACGCGCTCGTCGAGCGTGCGGCGGTACATGACGCAGCCGCCGTTGAAGAGGGCTCGGGAGCACGGACACGGGGTCGGGACGTCCACGGATGGGGGGGGGCCGACGGAGCTCCTGTCCGGGTACGACGTGGCGCGCGCGCAGATCGCCCCGGGGGTGCCGTTCGTCGAGGCGAAGATATTCGGTCAGACGGCGGACGATCCGTTCATGATCCGTCCGAACATCTCGAACGAGACTTTTCGAACCCTCCTCGGACGCGCGGTGGGGAAATATCTCGCAGAGGAGCGCGAACCCTATCCGGTGCTCCCGAAGCAGGACGCGCAGATCCAGATCGCGCACGGCGCGCACGGCATGGCGTGCCATGTGTTAGCCATTCGAGCGCTCGGTCACGCCTCGGCTGACTTTTCCATGTCTCTGGATGAACAAGGTTGCCTGTACGTGCGGTGCGAACCCGCGGAGATCCGTCCGGCTGATCCGGCGTCAAAAGTTGGACGCCCGTTCGAGATGGTCTGCCAATTCCCGACCCTGGTGGATCTACTGACGTGTCGGTGCGTCTATCAAAACGAGGTTCTCTACGTCATCGCCTATCCTCGCTCGCCGAAATCGCGCGCGCTCAGGTTATCCGCCCCGGTGATGGCGCAGGACATCATCGGCGGTAAACCCGAGGAGAACGGAGCGCCGGGGACGAGCGCGCACGCGATCTCGGGTCCAAGTAGCGACGGCGGACAAAAGAACGAACGTCCGATCGAGCTTCCGTCGACGTCACCGGCGCGTGCCCCCGAGGCGCGAGCAGACGCAACCGGCGACAGGGGCGTGGTTGGGACGAACAGAAGCGGGGACGACGTCGAGGACGAGCTCGAACCGAACGAGTTGGAAACGAATTAGTGCTAGCATCCCGTAATGTATGACAACCAACCTACAAACTACTCAGTCCATCGCCGTCTCGCTTCTCGTCCGCTTCCTCGTCCGCTTCCTCGTTCAATCCCTCGAGCACGTCTCTTTGTTCCTGCTCGACGTCGCTATCGATCGTGAACGCGATGCACGCCAACAACACGGCGCACAGGAACCAAAAACTAAACGCCAAATTAAAGGCGACTCGTCTGCCCATGCTGAGGATGAACACGGCCACGAGGGCTGGTCCCGCGCCTTTACCGACGTCGTCGATTTGGGAATAAAAGCCAAACACGCTGCCGCGAGTCTCAGGCGGGTTCACATTGAGCAAAATCGCTCGAACGTTCGGAGGCGTGAACGATGAAAAAATTCCCGCGATGAAGCAGGTGCAGTACAGACCGGCTCTTTGCGGACCGTAGTCGTTGACGTTCAAAAAGTAGTACGCCGGCAGGGCGCCGATCGCCGTCGTCGTTCCCATGAGCACGGGAAGCGTCGATTTACGTCTGTTGTACACGCGCTGGCCGACGACACCGCCAATGATGGTGCCGATGGCTGAGCCCACGCCGAACACGGTGACCGCGCCGGTCGCCTCCTGCACCGACATTCCCTTTTGCTTGTGTAAAAAATCTACAAAGTACGCGTTGAACACCCCCCACGGAACCGTACCCGGCAACCCTTGCGCGAAGACCAAAAGATTTGTCTTCACTCGCAGTTGCCTCCTCGCCTTTTTCCAGTTCATCTTCGCGTTGTAAGAGACGTTCAAATCCTCCACCGGACCGTCTTCGCGAGCGTCCGGTGATGACTGAGCCGTCGTCGTCGTCGCCTCGGACGACGCTGGCGGTCGACGGATCGATCTCCTGTGCACCTCCTCTTCCTGAGCTCCTCGTTTCGGTTCATCGACGTATAACAGCATCACCGTCGCGAAAAATATCGCCGGCACGGATGTGAGTATGAACGGCAGTCGCCATCCGTACGCGGGTCCCACCGTCCCTGATATGAGCTGACCGAGCGCGATTCCGGCCCCGGTAGCGATCGTCAAGAAACTCGCGACGTAACTCCGCTCGCTCGCCGAGAAGAGATCGCCGCACAGCGAGAACAACAGCGGCAGACATCCGCCGACGGCGACGCCCGTGCACGCCCGCAAGGCGAATAACTGCCAATACGTCTTCACCCAATACGTCGCCAAACACGGCCCTTCGCCGATGAGCGTCGTCCAAAAGAATAATCGCACCCTCGCCGCGCGATCGGCGTAGTATCCGACGACGAGCGACGCCGGGGAACCGACGACGAAGAAGGCCAACTGCAGCAACCCGCCGAGCTTGACATCCTTCTCCTCGTCGGACATGTTAAAGTCGCGCGCGATCGCGCTCATGTTCGGTGCGATCAGATTCTGATCGGCGTACAGAAACAGCGAGGTGAGCGTGATCAGGGCGACGACGACGGCGCGCGGGCGCTCGGGGACGCGATGGACATCGCGCGCGGTCTCGCCCGTCGCGGGCGCGCGTTCCATCGCTCGCGCGTCCGAGGTCGTCGTTCGCGGTCATCCACGGTCGGTCGCGCGCATCGCGTCCACGCGCGCGCTCGCACGCTCCGCTTGGCGCGCCGAGGTGTGACGACGCGGGTCGACGGATGGGCGGGCGTTCGACGACGCGACGTTGTTCGATGACAACGCGACGACGCGCGCGCTACGGGTTCGCGCGCTCGTATTTGGCGAGTTTATTCTTTAGCCTGGTCAACTCACCCTTGAGCTGGGCGTTTTCATCTTCGAGCGCCCTGAGCGCGCCGAGTCGCTTTTCCCGACTCCGCGCGGCGCTCTCCCGGTTACGAAACAATCGCTCCTGCGCGCGCAGCGTCTTCTCCTCCGCCGTCTCCTCGGGCGCGTCCTTCGGTCGACGACCCATCTTTTTTGGCGCTAACGCTCGACGGATCGCCGGCGTCGGGATGTTACTCCGTCGCTTTAACTTCATCGGCGCGTAGGACACGCCCGGGACGGTGGGCACCGCGACGGTGTCAATCTTCATTCGCGTCCGCCGTCCCATTTTCGCCTCGGGCGTCGCCCTCGTCTTCACCACACCGTTCCTCGAGCGTTTCACCGCCGTCGTCGCCGATATCGTCGCCGATGTCTTCGTCTTCGTCGTCGTCTTCGTCTTCTTCGTCGCCGCGCGTCGTCCGCGCGTCGTCGCCTCGCTCGCCTTCTCCCCCTCCTCCGCCAACGCCGCCGTGAGCTCCCGGAAACTCATCGTCGATAACGATGGAAGCGACAGCATCCGTCCATCCGCCGTCTTCACGCCATCCCTCGTCGTCGTCGTCGTCGTCGTCTCCCGCCGCGCGTTGATCGTCGCCCACACCTCGGAGATCGGTCTGTGCTCGTTATCCCTCGGCACCTCGAACACGCGCGGATCGACCCCATCCGTCGTCTTCGCGATCGTCTTCGCGACGTCTCCCACGGTGACGCCGTCGAGGTCGTCCACGCCGCGGTCGACGCCACGACGATTCGCGTGCCTCGTTCGTCCCCCTCGCGCGTTCGTTCGCCCACGGCTCGACGCCCGCGCGTCCAGCGTCGCGCTCGCGAGACGATCGAGCGAGACGTCCAAGGCGTCGGCGTCGACGTCGGCGACGCGGGCGACGAGCGCGGAGGCCCAGCGCGCGAGGGAGTCGTCGCGGGCGAGCGTCATGATGTGCGGCGAGGCGTACTTTGTCGCCGCGTGGCGAGTTTTGACGCGTGGTTTATTTTTACGCGCGGCGCGACGTCGACGGACGGGCGAGCGCGACGCGGCGGACGCGGACGCGCGCG